ATATAATCAGTAAAGCTTTATATATGAAAATGCCATGAGAAGCTTACAAATTGGATACTCAAAGTATAACGTCGTTAGCAATAATATTATGACCAAATTTATTCTCTCTATCTAACCAACATTTATAAAGTATTGGAAAATATTTCGTCACTGTGTAGAAACATAACAAAGTATTTGATATAACCCAAAAACATTCCAAATCTAGAGAATGGGCAAATACTCAAATCTAAGCAAGAGCATGCATATCCTTGATCCATTGGTCCAATGACTTACCAATAGAGTAAACAATAAATCCTATCTTCCCCAGCTTCCCTACATCAACAACATTTCTATACCATCAAAGACAAACGCTGGTTTCTGCATCTTTTCAAAAATCCTCTCATAGTCAAGCGTCTTACATTCATCCCACTCAATTAACAAGCAGATTCCATGGGCGTCTTTAGTGGCATCACAATTAAAAATCCAAAGACTGTGATGATCCATCTTGAGATCACATCTTTGACCTGCATAAGGAAAACATGGATCGAGTAAAGCTTTCTTTCTCTATCACTAAAAAGTGGTCACCATACAATGAGAATTTTCACTACTAAGCACAACATGGTAGCAAATCAGATTTTTCCTTACACACATTACAATGATGGCAACGAGGCAATTACAAGCAATGGAATTCAAGACTAAAGTATTTTTTGAGGTAATATTTGCCATAAGAACTCATGATTACAGAATTGACAGTTCTCGTTCCCAACATCGAATCCCACCACACTCATCTAAGCGAATCAACAAGAGATCTTAGATATAAAGTTATAAACGCATACTGAAATTCTTGCTCTTCGAAGAGAAATCAAATCAAACGAGAAGGACAAAAGATGAAGAAGACTATACAATGATCTGAAACTTCGAATCGTTTATGCAGGACATCCGGTGACTGAGAGAGCGTTGTCGTCGTCGTCGGAGCGTTGTCGTCGTCGTCGGAGCGGTGGTGATTATTGTTGATATCCATCGGAAGATTGAGGAACTAAGAAAGAATCTCTAAGTTTTATAATGGCGTAAGAGAGAGGAGAACAAACCGATTGCGAGGGCGAGACGCCGGAGACAACGGCCGGCGAGATCGGCGGTGCGACCTCTGGTTTGGGAGGAGAGGATGCGAGCAAAAGTTTTTGTTGCTTTTTTTGTTTTCTTTTGCGTTTTAGATTTTAAAAATTAATTAAATCAAAATATTCATTAAAGGCAAAATAGAAATAACACATTTGAGTGGCACTCTCAGACTCTAAAGTGGCAGTCGTGATTCTCATTTCCGGTTCAGTGGCAAACAAGCCTTGGTCTTGATGATGATGGCTGCGCGAAGAATAAAACTTTACATTTTTTTTATATATGATTGCAGCTTATTGGGCCTGTGTTTAATAGCAATAGTGGGCCTTTCATTAAGCCCACGATATCCGTACGGTACGGAACATACAAAAACATATTATTTGCCAGGCTCATAGTGCAACTTCAAATAATTATGATCACATAACTTCAGATAGTTTTAAGGAAATTAGTATAGACAAAAATCACCGTGAGACAGAAAAGCCCCAACACTTTA